ACAAAAAAACATGGGAGCGGTGGAGATGAGGAGGTGTCGGCGTTCTGGCGATTTACTCGGAAGGCTCAGTAGAAGCTGCTGGGAGTCCAAGCAGTTTCTACTGAAGCCAGTCCACAACTCCGAGGACTTCCGGCCAGGGACTTTAGGTGGCAGTATACGCCGTGAAGTGGTTTGCGGCCTGCCAGTAAACCCAAACCAGAAGAAGACGAAGTGACGTCAGCGGCTCATTTGCGTAATCTTCCCTCAGGGAACTTATTCCGGTGTGAACGCGATTGGTACTTAGTGCTCTGGGGTACTAATAGTCCATGGGCCAGACCAAATATCTGTACCACCCGAGGTGGCAAAACATTTGTGGTACCATTTTGTTCATAGGGTCCATATAAGTACATTAAGCCATGATAGACTTTCCAACTGAGTAGCTTAGCGGAGTTACATGCTACCCCATTATTGATCAAATAACGCATTTTGTCACTTACAAAGTTTGGCGGTATGTTCTGTGTTTGTCCCTGCTATGTGGAAAATGGTAATGAAACTTGCCTGAATGAATATTATATAAGCTTTGTATGTTCTATTTGGAATATATTTTCAGATTTTTGGGGAAGAAGCTAATTTTGTTGCTTTTCAGATAATGTTATTGGGGCCGCATGTTATTGCCATTTTACATGTTATCGGACACTGCGTCTGATGTACCGGTATGTAGACATACATTTTTAGTAAAGATGTATAGTTAAGATTAAGTTAATATTTCAGTCCCAGAGGCAGGACCCAGCGGCACGGCACCAAAGCGGCCACGCCTGGAGTGCCTCATCCATTGCACATCTCAAGATGAAGACTCAACCCTGGTATCACCAAAAGACATTGGTTCCTGGAAAACCCTGCTGAGAGCAGCAGAAATCAGACAGCATGCACCGATCTTAGACATCGCAAAGGACTTGCCAGATGATATCATACCACCTGTCACCTACCATAGGAAGTGCAGAAGCATCTTTACTGGAGAGAGGCTCCAGGACAAGTCGCTGTACGTGACCTGTGGCGAGGCATGCTACCAAGGATCACTGGCATGAAATCCAAGATCTGAGATCAACCCAAGAAGAAGCTGATACGCGCATGCTACTTCATGCCAGACATGCTTCAGGTGATGGTTATGGGTCCATAATCATCACAGCTGAAGACACTGATGTGCTGATACTGTGCCTTTGCTTCAGCAAGACGATGGCCTGCCCTCTGTATCAGAAGTGTGGTACACAGAATCGTACACGATACATAGATAGTTAAGTGCACTGAAGCATCTGAAGGAGAATGAGACCTACCAGGAGGCCTTCAAGCGTCTTGGTGAAGCATGGGATGTATCTGCTGACCTATTTGATAAGATGCAGGACTTTGTTTGCCGGTTGTATGCATCCTCATCCACCACCTCTGATGTCAATGAACTCCGCTACCAACTCTTCTGTGCACAACGGGGAGAGGTGGAATCCAGCCAACTGCCACCATGCAAGGATTGCTTGCACATGCACGTCCTCCGCGCGAACTATCAGACCGTGATTTGGCGACGCTGTCTTGTGAGACACCAAGGGCTGTGGCTGGACTACAGGTGACGATGGCAGTCTGGAAATAGAATGGATGCAGGGATCACCGGCACCTGATGCAGTATTGCAGCTGATGTCCTGCAAGTGTGCACATATCTGCAAAATTTCAGCCTGTGTGTGCCTGGAGAACCAACTGAAGTGCACGGACATGTGCAAACTGCAGACATGCACCAACCAGAGAAGTGAAGATGAGGACGAAGTCGCAGTGGAACTGGACGAGTCTGACACTGATGATGAAGAGAACTGACAATGTTTTGTTTAGGCAATGGTCTGGACTTTATAGTCATACCGGTACAACTTCAGATGAATGTATAGTACCCATGAAGTGCATGGCAAGTCACTGTCGATGAGTATAAACTGATGTATACTCAAGTACTGGGTAAATATGTAAGTAAATCAAACTAGACTTGCCCCCATGAATATTTCTTGACCTTGTGAAGGAGTTCTACTTGTAAAACTGGTTGTCTAGTTGGCTGGTCAAAGCTAGACACTACAGACATGTACATGTAACTATGTTATGCAGTTCCATGTTTTATGTTTTTTTTTTCAAGTAATAATAATTTTATTTGGCTAAAATATTGTCCAAGTTACTTTAGAATGACCTGTCTAACTAAACAACACCATAAGAACAATGCCATTAGCCATTAAATGGTTGACTTCATGTTGGTATTTGAGTTATATGTACATTCAAGCCACATTTTACGCCTTCGAATTTGGCGCTTCGGGTCATTGTATTCAATAGCTGATTGATTTCTATGACTAAGCTACCACTCTGGAATGTCTATCATACCAAAATATCATCTATAGATATATGCCACTTGAAAACACTTCACTAAAATGTGCCACTTTGGGTGGTACCGATAAGTGGAAATCCAGGTATGGGCCCATGGACTATAAGTACGGCAAAGTACTTGGTGTGAAAGCGGCCAAGAAGTACTCCAGTCTCTTTTTATTAAAGAGGCCCTTTTAAGCTTTTTTTAGTTTTTCCATTCCTATAGTGTGTTATTCAGGTTTTTGCGCATGGAAATGATCTGCACATTTTAAATCATATAGGGACATCATAGCTAGCGCTCCAATATATTGTACGTGATTTGCTAAGGGGCAGGACATCTCTAAGAAGTTGATCAATCAAAACAGAGCTGGCCAGCTAACCAATCAGAGCAGACTGGGCTCTGGTTTCAGACAGAGGGTGAAAAGAGGTGCTGGATCAGCTCCGTTGTACCCCCATTTTAGGGATTTGCACACGGAGGGAAAGAGAGAGGGTTTTATTTTATAAAGAAAAGCAAATTGTGATACTGACAGAAGTCTTTCAAACATTCACCACAAATGAAATGTAACAATTTAAAGAGACAGACACAACTGTAATTGATATTTATGTATGAGAAAAAAAAAAGAGCTTTTTGAACATTAAAGCATGGAGACATGTTACAGTAGAGGCACAAAATAAAAATATCAACCTGGAAATTATCATAACGTACATTTTAAATCTAGTTTTAGTAGTACAGCACAACCCAGAATGCTTCAGTTGCATCATTGAATGAAGATAAACCTGCAGTTTGTTCTGGACCAGAGGTCATAACAACAGAGTGACTCACCAATGACTTCTTCACCCTTTTATCAGCCCACCTCCACAGTGAGATATTAGGGGGATTTTGCAGTGACGTGCTTGCGCCCCCGCACAGCTTTAAAACAACAAGCTCTGGCTGAGGCGATGGGAGCCACAGTAGAGAAAAAAAGCATCAGCAGGGGTCTGCATGTTAACATGATGAGCTTATTGCATCAGCAGGCCGGGGAGCACACAGTGATGAGTCATTACAATAAATCTACAGCAGTAAAATACATTTAAATGTGAAAGTTGTATCTGCCTGAATTGGCTAAATAGTTCTGATTCTTGTCTTTTATTACAATTCTGGAATTGGCCAATAAGGTTAAATCTTCTTTGTTATGATGGCAATAATGTTATTAGTTTACGTTTACAAATGTTACTACCCAACTAAAATCGAGGCATGTTCCCTTAATCTTTGTATCTTTTCAAATTTCATAAATAAAATGTATTGAATACAAGCACACAGTATTCGTGGTCCAAAAGCATTTTTGTCAAATGAAAGATTTAGCAAAACTGTTAAACTCAGGTTTAACTCTGGATCCCTGGGAAATAAATCAGTGTTCTTCCGTATGGGGTAAATAAAAGGATTACTGCTATCAGATTTACAACAAACTCAAAGACATTATTACAGAGCACTGAGCTTAACAGTTTAATACAGGATGAGAAAACTACAGAAAAGACTACTAAGCTCTGAATCTCAAAGAGAAAAAGTAAACAGTGAATTAAAGTTGCACAGACGCTTCTTGAAAACAAACTGTGTTATTCTGAGTATAATGGTGTGTTTTATGATGTTGAGTGGAAAAAATGCTTAAGAAAAATCTGTCAAGCACAATGGATAAGACTAAAAATAAACAGCAGAGACTTTCACATATGTTACGTGGGCTACAAAAAACCCACCAAAACCAATCTTTCTTCCAACTCTCCGGGAGTTTGTTTTTCTGTCCAGCTGAGCTTACTCTTACTCTGTAATTGACTGGAGCTGGGTCAGTCCCATCATGCAGTGCGTGGCGGAGCCCTGTGGTAAGACTGCTGTTTACATTAGAGCTCTAATCAGCCTCCCTGGAGAGCAGCTTCAGATCTAGGCCACTGAGCAGTTTGGGCCGGCCCAATGCACCAGACACACCACAACTCTCCGTTTCAGAGTGGATGTCCTCCTCTTGAGGGTGACATGTTGACCACTTTACATCTTTGATATTGTCTTCGATAAACTTTCAATACATCCCCTACCAAGCAATGCAGGCTGCTGATAGGGTGCTGTGTGAAACCAGCGGTCAGCAAATACTTTTTAATTTGGCCAACTTAACTTAGGTTAGGTTAGGACTACTGTTTCTGTTATTTGTTTTCTTTGTACTGTTTCTGTTCTGATTTTATGTAAAGCTTCTTTGAGCATTAGGAAAAGCGCTATAAAAATCTAAAGTATTATTATTATTATTATTGATATATTTCTTACGTAACTTTCGTACTGAACGCCGATTCCGAAGTTATTTTAAACCCCAAACTTTGAGATGTTTGTTCCCTAACTTTCGAACTAGGTAAAGCCACTGCCATAGTTATTTTAACCTCAACAATGATATTTACGTTACATGATTCCAGTTGTTATTTTAGCCCAAACCATACCATTTTCACTAAACATATCTTTTTTTGCCTTAACAGGTTCTGCACTGCAAGGGTTTGCCCTGAAGCTGACCGCTTGTGTTTCTGGATATTAATAGGTAATCCCACAAAAAATGACAAGACAACTTTCCTCAGAGATCATGCAAACCATTCTTTGAGGATATGTCGAACAGGTGGCCATTACTTTCACAAACCTTGTCAGCGGTGAGTTCTCTGATCTTGATGATCTGCACTCTGAACTTCATCAGCAGCGCCTCCAGGACTACGCACTTGTCCTTCCAGTCCTCCTGGCTCATGGCCTCCTCACCCTCCGCCATCACGCCCGGCCCTCTGAAGGAGAACACACAGACAAACACACAGTGGTGAGAAAAATACACCGCTATATGTTTCCTGTGGGAAATATTGTCTTTCTATGAAGCTGGTTTGGATTAACTCTTGTGTGGTGTTCATATTTTTGTTACTCAGCCAGTGTTCGTGGGTCTGGTGGACCGACCCGCTGCCTTTTTGGGTTTCAATTCAACACAATCAAACTATTTTATGTTAAAATACTCAACAGACATTTACTTCATTTCAATTACAAGCAATATAAACAGCATATATGGTTAATATTTGCCCTTTTACATTTGTTACTGTAGATCACATTAATGAGTTAAAGTGCTACTCGTTTTTTTGCCCGCTGACTGGCTGGTCCTGTGGCTTGTCTTTTTTTTGTAACTAGCTGATGCTCAATCTCATCCTCTTCTTCAAAGTCACTGTCAGACTCAGAATTCTCAGAAATGTGATCCTCACATTCTGAAACCTCTTCCTCTTCCTCTACATCATCATCAAATGGTTCTCTGTCTTCCAAAATCATTTGCAAGGCCCTCTGAGCAGAGAATAGTTTGGCCATCTTGATCAGTTGTGATTGGGACTCAAACTGGCGAAGCTGTATTTATTGTGTCTCACCCCAAATTTGCAGCAAAATAAAGATTGGTTCCTGCTAGACATAATGCGGGAATGTGAGAGCAGACAGGTGTCGGTGCTTGAATTTATTGTGCGGGAATGGCAGGGGCAGAAACAGAAAAGTCACACACACACACACACACACACACACACACACACACACACACACACACACACACACACACACACACACACACACACACACACACACACACACACACACACACACACACACACACACACACACACACACACACACACACACACACACACACACACACACACACACACACACACACACACACACACACACACACACACACACACACACACACACACACACACACACACACACACACACACACACACACACACACACACACACACACACACACACACACACACTTCCCAGACAGGTGCACAGGACCTACAATTTTCACACTTTTGTTAGCCCCGGGTCCCGAATGTAATGTAAATGTGTAGGGGGGGGGGGGGGACGACGACAGTGGGTGGTCATTGAAAATGTGTTCTGATATATGTTCTTCACAGAAAATGAGCCAAGGCCAAATAATTTATCATATAAATAATGAAAACGGGTCCCACAGACCCGAACACCATACAAAGGTTAAGTGTCTTTCTCAAGGGCAGCAGACGATTGCTGACCTGGAAACTAAAGTTTGGATATTTTTGGGCATGTTATGTCTTTAATGTTGTTGATAGCAGAGAGGTCAATTAACAATTTTGTTCCAAAAGTTCTTCATAAAAATTGTGTTTTCCCAAGAACTTAATTTATGTCAGAGTTTCACTCAGATGCTCACTAATGTCAATATTGCATTAGGCACGATATGCTGCATTTGTCAGTTCTTTAAATATTATGAAATCAATAAAACGGTAAAAAGTAACTGAACCATATCTGATTTCCTAAATGACAGATATGAAAATGTCCTTTTCATTTTGCACTGATGATATTATCCTGATTATAATCTAAATATACGTTTAACTCTTCCAATAGCCCTTTTTTGTGGAATTTGTAATCATAAATGATATTGGGCCCGTGAAGGAATTATGTTTTCTCTCAAATAGTGGGAGTCTGTTTTTTCTCACAAGATCATTCCTGTATTTTAGAAAATCAGGCTATGTTTTCACTATTCTACCATGACAGCTTTGTCAAGATGGCTACTTCCGAATATTCATCAATTGCCAACAATGGAAATTCACCACAATTAAACTTTTGTGAGCGTTTATTAATCCAAGATACAATGTCATTATGTCCATCTCTACTTGCAAATCCATTTACCACACATCTCAAACTTTAATATATCCCCACACACTTGTGTAAAGAGACAGACTAACAGACAGAGAGGGTGTGTTGTGCAGATGTTTTGCCACTAGGCAGCACCTGAAATGTTCCAGTGCGGAGCCCAGCTGGACCAGTGTGGGCAGTGGGCGTATCATTTAGCTTAGCCAAACAGAAAAACACAACTTTTTCTCCAAAACACCTTGACGCCCTCCCTGGGACTTGCATCATGTTTTCCAGACGCTATCATAGGAAAACAGTTGTACATACAGCATGGGCGTAGGAAGCATCCTGAATGTGGGGGGGACATTTTTAAGGGGAGGTGTGGGGGTCCCCCCCCCACGAAAAAAAAAAATAGTAGATGGTGGTTTGATACTTTTATGTGGCTATACTAGCATGAGGAAAATGATGGGTACATTTTGTAATTTCATCCAGTAGTAAAGAAAGGAAACATATTTGATTATTAATTGAGAGCCATCTTTGAATTAATAAAAAGCAGTTTAAATGCCCATTTGTTGTACATTTATATACAACAATACATATTTGTGAGTGCATTGAGTGTGGAGAGTCATTTATATATAAATCGCAAAATACATTTGTGAATCCTTCTGTGAGCATGTATTAATATTGAGACTGATCTGACTCCATACCGATGTTAAGTTCACCTAGGAATGGTATCATTGACTTAAATGTTCAAATACATGTTGCTCTTCTGTCTATATTGGTCATATGATGCCCCTTGACTGAAATGCTTCCTGTTCAATATCCCCACTGATTTCCTTAACATTCTGGGATGAGAGTCTACATCACAATTGACTCTAAACTGTAATTTCCCTTTCATCACTCACCTCAGCAATGAACCTCTCTCTACAGTCCCTGTGTTCTGCCTCTGACTCACTCTCAAGCGCCTAGATGTCAAGAGAGGTGGTGAAGTGATCATTATTTATTGAGCAGTATACTCTTTCACATTGAATTATAACAAGTCCTACTGAATGTAAATACAACTGACTCTAAAGTAAGTCCCAGTCTGTGGCATTGGACATTTTGAAGACTCAAAGTCCCAAGCAATAGGTAGAATATTAGCTATCTACTGCACAGAAAATAAATAGTTAACTGAATACTGGGATGGAAATTGCCTATAAGCACTCATTAAAACATAAACACACACACAAAGCTTCTGAATGATAAGAAGTATAATTAAAACATAATGTACATTACCATTTTGAGAGAGAGTAAGTTAAATAACTCTTATCGAACTGAGGCTCTAGTAAAACACACTGACTGCGTCTCTATGGACATCATGGTGTTTACATGAGCACAGAGAGATCGAGTTATTCATGTTCCCTGTTTACATGATAAATACTAGTAACCTGGCATTTCGATGCCTTTTCTCATCTAAACTATTCAGTATTTGTATCTCTCTATCATGACATAAAGACGAAACTCATCTCCAGAAGTGAGACGCCGCCGCCGCCATCACTGTTAACTGATTAACTGCTACCAGCTGAAGACTTACTTTCCTCTTCTTTGAAATGTTCTTATGTCCATGTTGTCTGGGGGAGAAAACATTTAAAACCAAGAGATCGTCAGCTTTGATTTTCGCTGTATTAACAATTTCCTGAACATTTGGCGTGTGTGCCTTACCTCCGCTACCGGCATCGCTTCATACAACAGATCTGGGGCCTCATTTATAAAGGGATATACGCTCAAATAATGGCGTACGCCAGTTTCTACGCAATGTTTGCGATTTATAAAATACTAACTTGACGGGAAAATGTGCGGTCCTCCACGCAAACTCTAACCCATGCGTACGCACTAAGCACAACAACGGGAGAGACGAGAAACTGTGACACCATTGGCAGAAGGAAGAATGGAGAGAAATATGTGGAAATAATACCATGAATAAAACGTTACCTCTCATTTATCATTTATGAAGAACTAATTTTCACACATTGATTAAAGCCAATCTTAAAATGATTTAACAAACGCCTGTTTGAGACTCCTCAGTGCTCACACACACATAACTTGGAGAAATAAATAAATACGGATATGTTATTTAAAACCACCTCGAATATGTTGTGTTAATGTTATGAAATGTTTTCTCATAAATGATGCGGTAAGCAGGAGGACAGAATTACGTCTAAACTGACGCCGTTTTGCATTTCTATAGGTTGTAGATACTCGAGCATGTTTTACTATCACGTTTAATCGTGATTTATCTCCACCTCCCCAAAATAACCAGAATCTGACACGGTGTGAGATGTCTGTTTTAGCTGTTCTGTTGTCATTTCCTGCGATCTTCTTCATGCAGTTAGTCAGAATGAATGAATGAATGGGCGTTTCTTTGACTATTTATAGGCAAATATGGGCATTACGTGAAGCCCGCAAAAGCTGCACCGCATTTCGAGTCGATTGTGATTTATAAAGGGAAACCGGCGTAGGAAGTGCCGTACGCACTTTCCTCGCCGGTACGCAATGTTTTGTGAATCAGAACATGTCGGAACATTTCTGTACCTATTTTTTTTTGCTTTGTACTACGTAAGCAACCTTCCCATGTGAATCCTACGCACGGCGTTATAAATGAGGCCCCTGAGCTGTCCAACTATGACAACACTCCTTGAACATGCGTTCGCTATGCGCTCTACAGAGTGCGGCGAGTGGAGAGACCGATTCACGGACTTTCCACATAATAAAAGTGGGAGGGTCTAAACTAATCATTTGAAAAAGTGGGTGGGGGGGACTTGTCCCAGCCTCATATAATGGCTGCGACGCCCATGACATACAGAGAGTCAGATGAGGATCTCTGATGGAGGAGGAAGAAAGAAAGCCCGGGTTTCTCTTCCAAGTAATAACCTCTCATTACCAGCATGGCCTCCGCACAAAGAGACTGCAAACATGTGTGGAGGACGGCAATAAACTGCTTTCCACAGGCTTATTTCTGCCGCCTGTTTGCTGTGGTAAACACTGAATAAGGCAAGGGAAAAAGAGCCCCGATCCCACAGAACAAAACAAAAATAAATGACTATAATATATAATATACTGCATGCAGATCAACAGAGCGATACGACTAAGGAATTGTGGTATCTGGTTTGTATTATACATATCAATTCAAACAAATAATAATATGTAATTTAAAGAATCACATGTTTATAATCTATTTTATTGTTAAAGATGAAAACAATCATCGAAATCATAGTAATTTCCTAGTTATGCAACAAAAAGTCAATCAACTTTTCCTTTCTTTTATTCCTTTATATTGCTGTGATTCAGTTGAGAAGTTAATTCACTTAAATGTACTGCCAAATACATGTCTAGTATTAAAGACGATCATGTTAGGATATTAATACATTTTCTATAATTGAGGACATATATAATTGTTTTTATCCAAGCAGTATTTAACGATGATAATGAAAGGATGTGGGTGGTGGAAAACATGAAAGACAATTTAACCCCTGAACCCTGACTCTGAGTTTCTTTTTGTCTCCCTCTCTGTCTCACTTCCTGTTGAGTAAAGCCTGTGTCAGTGTAATGAGATAGTGGAGCATTCATCAGCTCTTAGAGTGATTCCCTGGGAGTTTTGGCTGGAATAATGATGTATCGAGCCATAAAAAGCCCTAACTAGGATTAAAAAGTACAGACTGGAATAAAAAGCACCCTAAACATTGGGTTAATATGTATTAAAAGGTGTTTGTGAATGCTGCAAACTTCCCTCAAATCATTTCAGGATGTATTAATACAGTAACACTGAGCAACTCTGAGTAAAAACTGTAACTTCAAATCGTTTGTGGTACTTTAAATATAATGTACACAGACTATGACACATTATATATAGCTCATGTATGTTTGTTTTCTGTGATGTCACAATCTTTTTTTAATTTAATTTACCATAAAACCGTACTTTGGGGTTTTCAGTTTTTACGGGATATTGTTTACATAACATTTAGTGAACGAACACCTTCAAGCAAAAGACGCAAATAACATATTTGTTTCTTTTTTCATATACAGTGACTTTGTGAGTAATGGCAAATAGTAGAGACATTGTGTATATTCATAATTTCAAATAGCGGATTTCCGAGAAAGATGAATTGCTGAAATCACCGTTGAAACTAAACTCAGCAAAAAGACTGCCAAATAACTTTCTGTCGTTTCCTATTATAACTAAATTAAAACACTGCAATTTTCTTCCAAATTCTCGACTTACCTTTGAGAATATTTGATGGATATTTACTACTCAAAGGACTTCACGCCATGTCGACTCCAGCATCAACACATTTCTTGTTATTCCTGTTGTGAAAGTCTTAATTCATGAGTAAAACGGTGAATTTCTCTCGTGCCCAAAGGATTTCATTTCAAGCTCAGGCAAAAGTTGGAGACGGGTCGGATGTAGAGGGCGGGGTTTCGCACAATTACGTCCAATCATATTTTTGGTAGGCGTTTTCTCAGCAGTGTACAACAACGAAGTATGGGTAATATTGACGTGTGTTTTCCACCAATGAATAGCTGGAGCGCTATTTTATGGCCAGACAAACTTCTGAGGGCGGCGTGTAGCGATTTGTCGGAAGTGACGTCTCACATGTGCAGCATGGACCATGGATTGGTCAAGCTTGTAATAACAATACAGGAAGCTAAAAGTGTGGCTTCAAATGTAAAGTTGCAAGATACTCAAGTAGTTGAAATAGCGGCTAATGTCACACAACACAATGTATGTTTGTCATGTAATTAAATGAAGAATAGAGAAACTCAAAAAGTTCCATATAAATGGCAATTTAAATGTTATTATTAGGCATGTTTTAAATGAAGTTTTATTCTGAAAGTCATTACCGGAAGTGACTTTACATGAATTTGAGTTGCCTACCAGCTGAAACCAAGTAAACCTTATGCTGAATTGAGGTAAATGCTAGCTACCTAAACAAATAACTTGTATATAGTTGTTCCTTTTATTTTCTTTGTGAGCGTTTCCTTGTTTTACCGTGTGAGTGTTGTCTACTTGTGTCTCCCTTTTTAATTTCAGACGTAGACTCAGTGTTATAGCTAGCAATAACTGCTTGCTAACATTAGTCCTAGCATACAGTAATATTACATTTAACCAAGGTAAAGTAAAATATGCAAGGACCGCGTGACAAGTGTGTGTGTGTGTGTGTGTGTGTGTGTGAGACAAATAGAGAAACTGAACAAATAGACGGACATGGTGGAGTTCTAACTTTTGTAAATTGCATATTTTTGGATAAACAGTCATGTGAATGAATAAACTATTATTGCTCCTCACTTCATACAGGGAACAGCCATGGTGGTGAAGAAGAGGAAGAGCCCCAAAGTAGAGGCTGTGGTTTTGGATGAGGAGAAACTACACAAGCTGATAGGTAATGTGACCAAAGGACTGAAGTAGAGCACAGGTGTGTGTACCACACACCTGTGTGTTAAGATATATTTAAGTGAAAAAAAAAGACTGAAAATGCAGTTATCATCTAACCAGAGGTAAAAAGTCGTGTGCAGTGTATTGTATAGGTAGGTACATATGAAATATATCAACAAGTGAAGTAGTATACTGTAGTGTAAAGTAGTATAAACCCTCTGAACATTAGTATAACTATTAAAAACACATATAATACATTAACTACAGACGTAAACAATACGAAACATTATAGAGTAGTTTTCTCATTTTAAAAACAATATGAATTAATTTGAGTACACTATATATAATTACCATTGCAGGTGCAATATACAAATGACAACATTTAAAAACATATTTTTGAAAAAGTACATTTCAACAAAGGAAAAGTAAACAAGCAGTTATAAACATATAAATAATGCATAATTTAAAATATTTATTCAAGCAAATAAATTATAACAAATGAATACTATAAAACTATATGTAAAGGAAACTATTTAAAAAATAAAAAATAGCTTTTCTTTCTAAATACACACATAAATACAGACAATAATAGTTCAAATGTGTTTTTAATAATTAGAAAAACTATTACATATGGAAAACAAATGCACACTTGAGTTGTATACACATGTGTTTATTCATGTGCACATAAGGAGTATTTATTACTAATATAAATGTAATTGGGTTCATTTGTATTCTTTGTGATTTTTCCAGCATCCCTCTCTGTGGGCGGAGGAGAGGATGGAGTCAGGGAGGTGGCACAGACCCTGCAGTCCTGCCTGGAGCTGACGGAGCCGGTGCAGCAGATCCAGCTTGTTATAAAGGTTGGTTTACAGAGAAATGTAATCTTCAACATGAATATAAGATAAATAAAAGTGGGAAATAACTTAGATTTCAAGAATTTAGCTTAAAGGAGACCTATCATGCTATATTTGAATAATATATTGTAGGGCCATTCCTATATAAGGTATATTTATACGTTTTCTTTTTCAAAATACCAAACAGATCATGCATTTTAGCCATGCCTCATTTCGCTCTATTTTGCTCTCCTCCACCCTGTCTTTGCATGCCTGCAGTTGACCACGCCCCCCTGCAAAGGAGGGGGCAGAGTTACGAGCATCATGTTACCATGCTGTTACCATGCTGTTGCCATGTCACGGCAACCGCTCATTCCCCTGATTGGTGGAGAGTTGGCCATATAGGCGGAGCTCCTCGTCACTGACGTCAGACTATTTTCAAATCTGCATCAGTCTGTATCAGATCCGTTAAAGCCCCGTTTTTAGAGATTTTGGGTACGGAGGAAAAGAGAGAGGGTTGTGTTTTCTGACACTTGGTGAGTTCCCTGACACACCGGGGACATATATTCATGTATAAAAGACGTACAAAGGTGCATTTTGCATGATAGCTCCCCTTTAAAGGTCCCATGTCATGGCCATTTCTACTGATCATCATTCCATTGTTGAGGTCTACTAGAATATATTTATATTGTTCAATGTTCCAAACTCACATTGGTTTCTCATACAGCATCTCTGCATAGTATGTGTATTCACTCTTTGTCCTAAACGGCTTGTTGGAGCTCCTGCCCCCCCCCCCCCCTCCCTGTGAGCCCAGTGTGCTCTGATTGGTCAGCTCGCCCCTCTGTTCTGATGAGATCACCACCGTTACAGCGGAACATCAGTGGTTATGTTTTACAATGGCGTTTGTTAGCAACCAGAAAATGACACCAGTAATGACAAACAGATGAGAATGCTGCGTGGGGTCTGGGTGCCGTGTTGGTGGGACGTTGCGGGGCTCGCTGCTAAGAGGAGCGGACAGTGTGAGCTGGCTTGCTGCGGGGGATCTGCGAGACACAGCGAAACCCAGCCTGAACCGGACTTCCTCGCACACACACACCTGCAGCCTGGCTGAGAGGCTGCGTGTGCTCAGAACAAGCCCAGGCCGAGCCCCGCCGCGTCTCGCCGTCTCAGGCTGAGTTCAGCCTGAGAAATTCGCGGAGCTGCAGCTGAGAAAAGATTGAGTGAGTGTGTGTGTGTGTGTACTCTATTGGGTATAGAGACGTTACGTCACTATACCCAATACGTCACTGTACTTACTACACTATAAGAAGAAAACAATGGAAAAAGAGAAATCTCCAACGAGGCGTTCTGGGGCAGCATAGACAGGTCTTTTCTGTGTTAGAGTTTTACTCGCTACAGGGTGTACTTTGAGGGTTTGTGACTTTGCAGACCGTTTACATGCAGAAAAAGCTACATAACACACAAGGGGACGGGCAATAACCTGAAAAGCACGACATGGGACCTTTAATAGACCTTTGTGTGTCCATACTTCACCAGGCGGGGTCCCAGCTGGAGGCCCTGAGTGAAGAGCCCTCTGATGGAGCTCTTCTGGAGTCCTGTCTGCACACCCTGACTCTGGTCTACACCTGTCTGCAGGCTAAGAACCCCCTGCGAAGAACCATCGCCAGGTACAATGCTACATTTTAGGATTTTAATTTGAAACGCATCTCTACAAGTAAATAAGATTGAGACTATAAGGAGATTTCATATGATGCTAGTGGGAAAAGCAGTATTTGTTTGGCTGATTTTAGTCTTCTTTCAAATGGCAAACAGCAAGAAACGTTTCTAATCAATAAACTGTATATAAATCTGAATCCTCACCGTAACAGCAATGTCAATTCCATATCAGTTTTCAGACTAGTGCAAACTGTCATCTCCAGTGTTATCAATTTGTTTTCATTGTTATCAGTTAATCATGAAAGTCATATTTTCTGTATAAAAAAGTAAATATTTGTTGGTCTATTTACCATTTTACATCCCAAGTTTCCATTTTAACAATGCATCTTTTGAATCTTTATTAAATTACAACCATTGAATTCAAACTTAAATATCACAAACATCATTTTGATAACCTGATTATTACCATGTCTCTGTTTTGATATCCTCAGTGCTTTAGGTTCAGTGCCAGCCTGGCTACAGGAGCAGACTGTCCACAGTTTGTCCGCCTGTCTGTCCGACTGTCTGTCCAACCCAACCTCAGAGCAGTACCCACACATCACCGACACCATCACTGCCTGTCTGGATGGCTTCACTCTCGGTAAGGGGGGGTTCGTCTTTACCTTTACTCCAGAATTGTTCTACTTTTGAGATAACGGTTATCAAATCAATCTTATTTTCTACTGTAGACTAACTGCATTACCTTTCCTCCAGGTGAGAGATGCATTAACAAACTGCTGCCTGAAGGTTAGTGTCCCAGGAATTAGAAATGTCTCCCTTTTTTCTTTTTCTAAAGAAGCCAGTCATGAACTATCTTTCTCCTCTATTTAGTGATGCAGTTTCTTCACAAGGGATTGAGTGAATATCTTCATCAGAACAGGTATACAGGCATAATCTCCTTTTCTTCAGTGTTTTTATATATGTATATCTTTATGAATAGTTATACACCACTGCGTACTTTGTAATATACACATATTACGTAACGATTGTTCTAATATAATGAAGTACAATGTGCACATTTATACTTAACTTCTTATGCTAATATAAATATTCTATTTAATTAAATCATAATGCAATTTTTCTGTTTACATCAAATATATAGATATATATTTGTAATATAATTGTATTTGATCTTTTTTTATTCTAAAACAAATCTACTGTCATCATTATTTTCCTCAGGATAAATACAAATCATCTTCTTGTGATTCTGAATATATTGTATATACCTTGTTGTTGTCGCCCCCTGCTGTTGTCCCAGTGGTCTCGCAGGACGTCACATCGCTCAGGCCCAGCTGATGTATTGTTGCTTGGCGACAGTGAAGGCCTCCATGCTGGTGATGCAGAGGTCCCAGGAGACCATCGGCTCCTCGCTGCAGGCTCAACACACACACACCAAGCTGGAGGACACACTGAGCAGCCTGCTGGGCTGCTACACACACATCCTCACTGATGGTAAGAACCAGGGCAAAACTAGAGACCCTCTGGGGATCACACCACCACCCTCATACAACTACCAGCATTTAGAAGTACTAAAAAAATAGGACCTGCATTCAACATTTGAAAATTGTAAATGTCCAAAAGTATAAGCATCAAATTGACCAAAACAATCCATCAAATAATATCCTATAAAATGATATTGAATTATAA